CACACACACACACACACACACACACACACACACACATACACACACACACACAAATAATGAAAAAAAAAGATTGCCCAGTACTGGTCAACATGGTGGTTGAGATCATTAATAACTAAGAAAACAGTAATTAAATGTTATCCTGGTTCAGCCAACATGACAGTTGAGATCATGTAGGAGGACTAGGCACCATGACAGCTGAAACTGAATAGGATTGGGAAATAAGGAAATTTCATTTATTTTATTTTTAACATTTTTAAAAAGATTTATTTCTATTTTATGTGTATGAGTGTTTTGCCTACATCATGTATATGCACCATGTATGTGCCTGGTGCCCACAGAGGTCAGAAGAGGGTGTTGGATCCTTTGAAACTGGAATTACAGATGACTTTGAGCTACTATATGGGTGCTAGGAACTGAGTCTGGATCCTCAACCAGAGCAGCAAGTGCTCTTAACTGCTGGGCCATCTCTCCAGCCTCAATTAAGGTCATTCATAACAAATAGGAGTTCAGTTTATCAAGGACTAACAACATAGGGTTTGAAGTCAGTAGAACAGACCAGTATGGCAGGATGGTACGTTTCCATTTAGCCATATGGTGGTTGAAATGAATCTGGACCTTGCAGTTGGCATCACTCAGCACTAGACAAGACAGTTGCTATCATCCAGACTTGGCTAATGTTGAGTTTGAGGTTGTCCAGGACCAGTCAATGTGGTGGTTGGGGTTATTCAAAACCAAACAACATGATCAAAGTCAAGTAGGATCATTCAGCATCAGTTAAGATTGCACTGCTCCAGGAAATATGGCAGCTGTGGTCATTAATAACCATCTGACAAAGGATAAAGCCCATTCACAATATGCCAATATTGTAGCTAAGTTTATTAAGATCCAAAGGAATCTAGAAACCTTAGGCTCTTCATACACTCACCTTGTCACCAGTGCATTAGATCACATTGTCCCTCTTTTCTTCCTAGACCTGCTCAATCATCATATTCTGGACAACATCTTGTGTGCCAAGAGGCTTGTGTCCATGCGTCAGGGTATGAAGGCCTGGTAAGTTTATGGGGATAATCTGGACCCTGGACAGCCACAGTGGTAATACTATTCCATCAACTTGTCCACTTTATCTTCCCTTCCTCCCTTCATTTCCCAGGGATTCTTGGACTCGGCACTGTGTTGGTCATGATTTATCTGAATGGCTCAAGGGGTGTGATGTGCATATGAAAACTGACTCAAGCAAAATTGATGACTCAGATGTCTAAGTAAAGAGACTTTGTTTTTGTTCTTTTGTGGGTTTAATAAAGGATGACATCTATAAATTCTGTAAGATCCATTACCTGTCGATATTTTTTCATGTTTTCCAATGCCTGAAAGTACCCCCATTCTTTCCTTTCCTCCATGCCTTCATAGATCTTACCAGATCACAGATGGGGAGGATAGTATGGTGTTTAAGAACATAGGTTCTCTTTGGTTTAAATATAATCTCTACCACTTACTAGTTGTGTTTCCTTGAAAGAGTCACTTAATTTCTCTATGCCTGATTCTAAATCTGGAAACTGAGGATGATGAGAGTAATAACCTCATGGGGTAATTTGGAGCATTAAATGAATTAATGTATAAATGAATTAATGTATAGGAAACACATGCAGTGCTTGTCATAAAAGTCTGCTAGAGATCTGGGTGTGGTAATACATGCTTGTAATACCAACACCCAGTGCCAAAGGCAGGAGGATCACAGGATCAAGGCCACTCTGACCTATATAGGGAGACTATGCCTCAACAACAACAAAAAGGTCAGTTATAAGTTTGGAGATAGAAAGGTTGAGTGTAAGGATATGAAAGCTGGCTTACCTTATTTTTGAAAACATCAGTCTTAGATGATGTCACTACAGGGTCTTTATTTAAGACATATACAGTCTCTTCAGGGGAAAATGAAATTGAATACAGCTATACAGTGTGAATTAGGAATTTAAAATATTCACATTCTTCCACGTCATCCCATATACCAGCATTCTAACTCTCAGCCTCCATTTGCTTCTTTCACAATCAAAATTCAAAGTTGAAAATGACAATTTGGGAATTTAGGCAAAGAATTCAATGGATGCACAAAGCAATAATTTCTTTTTATAGAATGCTTGGGTTTCAGTCTGTGTTTTGAACAGAGCAATTAAGAACTTGAACTTGCCCTTGTTTTTCACTGATCTGGTCCACTAGAAGTAGCAATTCTCATGAGGAAGTAGTCCCTCAAGCTCTCTGTTGTCCTTGGTTAGGGGTGGCTATTCAGTTATTCAAAAACTTGCTTTCAGTGCTCACCAAAAATAAGTATAAGATGATCATTAAAACAGTTAACTCTCCTTCATGGCAAGGAGAGTTCAAGATCCCTTCCTTAATGTCAACTGGACTTCCCCTGTATTTAGCCCCAACCAGTATAAATAACCAAACTTTATATCTCCCTAGGGGTCCATAAAGGGTGAGTGCCATCATTCTGTCTACTGATTTCTGAATGTGGTAGTCATTCATCAAAAGCAGCAGAAATAATCTCTGATGAATTTAAGTTTAAAAAAAGGGGGTCTTCTAAAACCTGTCAGACAGCATATAGTCATTCTGGGAAGGCTGTAGGATCAGTTTTAGAAAGGGAGAAGGTCCACTCAGAGAAACATAAGTAAAATTTTGCCACAGACCAGGCTGAGGTGGAAACACTGGCATTATCAACTGTTACTACTGCTCAAAACTGGATTTGATAGTCTGGTGGTTTCCTTTTTACATTATTCTGATGATAAATTCTAATAATTTAGAACTTTATAATGTATTCTTTGTTGTTGTTCCTTTGAAGGTTATCTTTAAATCTTTAACTTTGTATCATTTGGCAAACAACTTTTTCTAGTGAGAATTTAATTTCTTTTTCTATGAGAGTTTGGTATTAAATCAGAAATATATTTCCCTTATATAATTTCTCAGGAACTATGCTTATTGAAGTTGATTAAACCGTTTCCTTTGATACCTCTGCCCACATTTATAATGAGGTTTGTCTTTCAATTGACAACTTTCTATTTCAATTTCAAGGACTTCAAAAGGTTTCAGCATTGAGCACTCTTTGATGTGAAATGATCATGCTATAGATCTATGAGACAAAAGTACAAAGGTCAAGCTTTTGCTTCAGGACCTTGGATTCTTTTGCCTTGAACGTTCTTCTCCCAATATGGCCAGCACTTATTGTTAAGCTCAAATGTCATATCCTCATGACACCCTTCCCTGATCATCCTAGCTAGAGCACAATCCCCTACATTACTTTTTCCATTTTCTTTGACTTTACTATAACAGACTCTCCATTTTCAATTCTTTGTTTTCTCTTATCTCTAAGTTCTCTAATCCATGATGCACCTTGACTTCTGGAAGTTTTCTTTCAAATTCTGGGCAGTCATAAGATTTTTCTCCTATGTGAGTTCTCTGATGCACGGTGAGTTTGGACTTCTCTCTGAAGGCTCTGCTACACTTATCACATTCATAGGGTTTCTCTCCTGTATGAGTTCTTTGATGGATAATGAGATATGATTTTTGGGAGAAAGATTTCTCACATACATTACACTCATAGGGTTTCTCCCCTGTGTGAACTCTCTGATGAATAATGAGATATGATTTCTGGAAGAATGCCTTATCACATTCATTGCATTCATAGGATTTTTCAAAATTTTCTCTTGTATGAGCTCTCTGATGTAACATGAGGTATGACTTCCGGGAGAAGACTTTTCCACATACAGTGCATCCATCTGTTTTTTCCCCTGTATGAATTCTCTGATGAGCACTGAGGCTTAGCTTAAGGGTAAAGGCTCTTCCACATTCTGAACACACATAAGGTTTTTCTCCTGTATGAATTCTTTGATGTCTACGCAGTGTTGATTTCTCTCTGAAAGCTTTGCCACATTCATTGCAATCAAAAGGTTTCTCTCCTGTGTGTGTTCTCTGATGTACACTGAGGTGTGCCTTTTGGTTGAAGGCTCTGCCACATTCTGAGCATTCATAGGGTTTTTCTCCTGTGTGAGTTCTCTGATGTATAATGAGCTTCGTCTTTTCTCTGAAGGCTTTGCCACATTCATTGCACACATATGGTTTCTCTCCTGTATGAGTTCTTTGATGTATATTCAGTGTTGATTTCTCTCTAAAGTATTTGCCACAATCGGTGCATTCGAAAGGTTTCTCTCCTGTGTGCGTTCTTTGATGCACACTCAGGTGTGCCTTTTGGTTGAAGGTTTTCTCACAATCTGTACATTTATAGGGTTTCTCTCCTTTGTGAGTTCTCCGATGTATGATGAGATTTGTCTTTTCTTGGAATGCACTGCCACATTCAGTGCATACATATGGTTTTTCACCTGTATGTGTTCTTTGATGTATATGCAAAGTGGATTCCTCTCTGAAGGATTTACCACATTCATTACATTCAAAGAGCTTGTCTCCTGTGTGCATTGTTTGATGTAGACTGAGGTGTGTTGTGTTGTTGAATGCTTCTTTGCATTCTGCCCATTCATAAGGCTTTTCTCCTATATGAGTGATCTGATGAACAATAAGGAATGAACTTGGGCTGAGGGTTATTCTACACTCAGGACATTCATAAGTTCTCTGTCCATCTTGAGTCAAATTATGCTGAACAAAGTTATAAATATGACCTTTCCCATATATATTATAGTCATGGGACTTCATTTCATCATTTATTCCATGTCTGCCAGGAATTAATAATTTCCTACATCGATTGCATTCATAACATTCCTGAGTTGCAAAGCTCAGACTGTTAGGATTGAGTAAACCTAAATTATCTTTAATACTTTTCCCAAATAAGTTATTCATATAGGGTGTGCATCCTGAAGAAACTACACATGTGTTCTGAGGAAGTGTGTTTAAAAATTCATGATCTCTTTCTTCATTCATATTTTTCTCAATAACAGATATAGCCTGCTCCGGGTGTATGTTTTGGTTTTCCTGATGCCACTCCAGTTGGTCTTCAGCGTGCCCATCTTCTAAAAAGAAGAATAATAAACCAGATTCTGTAAATATGCCTAGTCAGAACTAGGCTTCTGATGAGGCTGACTTTTATTTTCTTCTAAGTCTATCTACTTACTAACCAGAAAGAGATTCCAAGCATATGTCTCTCTTACACTCAGAGCTTGAGGGAACAAAAACCAAGCTGATCCAATAGATATTGGACTAGGAAAACAACAGTGAGTATAACTAATATAAGTATTTAAGAAAAATACGTTAAAACTAGGGAAAGAAACTAAAAGCAAGTTCAGGGATCCATGAATAGGGAAAGGGATATTGGAAAGATAATAGATCCAGGATTGGGGTGGGGACACTCAGAATGCAAAGATTCTTTTGGAAAGCTGGAAACGACTAAGGTGAATGAAAAAAAGAAGGACTAAGACAGAGTAGAGTCTAGTTGCTTAACACCTCATTGAAAGATCAACATGAGACAAACCCACTAAAATAACAATTCTGAATAAGCAGTAGCAGTATATATCCTTTAGGAAGATAATCTTGAGATATCAAAGATAGCAAGCCTTCGCCAGAGCATCTAGGATCTTACCCTCACCATCTCCCAACTCACCCTTCTTACCTGTAAAACTTGAACTTGGGATTTCTCTTTTTATAATCCCAAGGATTCCCTGTTCCAAAGAGGTGATCACTTCTGGTTTGGTAATAGGATATCCTGTAGTGGGAAATAATACAAGACTTGGGTACCTCTGTGTGCATTCATCTCAAAAAATTAGGAAGGTACATTTTAGTAAGAGTACATTGTACACAGAAGATTAACATCTTGTTCAGTATAAGAGGGAATGCTAATCTTTAATTCCTAGAACCTGAGATATTGAAATATTTTAAAGATGGAAAATTATTCTTTGGGGACAATGTAAGTTGCTCAGGGAATCCATCCTCACCCAGAGAGACAAGATGGCTATAATTCTCTAGCATCACTTCTTTGTATAGGCTCCTCTGAATAGGGTCCAGTTGGTTCCACTCTTCCTGTGTGAAGTCCACAGCCACATCCTCGAATGACACTGATCCCTGTAATTGCATACTTTTATTCGATTAGTTTGGTGAAAATTAAAGTGATGTTATTTTTCCCAAAATGTTAGTACATCTTTGCTTTAATGCTTTTTAAAAAACTGAGACATCACAATTTTACATATTTATGGAATACAGTGTAATATTTGTGTGTGTGTGTGATCATACCAGGCTAAATGGAGTGATAATTTTCTTTATGATAAACGGAATATTCTTCAAAGGGAAGCAATTGTTCAATCATTTAAAAAGTCCTTAAAGAATAGGGGTGTAGCTCAGTGGTAGAATATTTAATTAAGGCCCTGAGTTCCACCCTCAGCACTGAAAAAAAGAACCTTTCAGTGAGATATTTGCAATAGCTATTCCAATGAAACAACTCATACTATACAAAATATAAAGAACTATAATAAGTATAGGTAAACCAATAGAAAAATATTTCAATAATATTTCACAAAAGAGGATATTCAAATGGTGAGTAAACATACAATGCTTAACACCATTAGTCATCATCAGAGAAACACAAACTTAAACCACATGAAGATATCAGTATTTGCCACAGAATATCTACAGTTAGGAGTAACAACCCAAATGTTGGCAGAGCTGTAGAGCAACATGAACTTTCATACCGACACTTTGAAAATTGGCTTGGTAGAACTGACTAAAACAGAAAACACTCCTAACTTATGAACTAACAACTTCATTCTTAGGTATATGTCCAATGGAAATGCACACACGTTCACCAAGACACATACAAGAGTATGCACAGAATTATTATTTATAATAGCCCAAATCGAAACATCCATCAGCAATATTTATACAACAGAATCATACACAATAACAGAATGAGAACAAACTACGGACTCCTAAAGTAACAAAGATTTTATATATATATATATAACATTATGATAGGCTGGATACATAGCTTAGTGGAAGAGTGCTTGCCTAACATGAGCAAGGCCCTGGGTTCCATTCCCAGCACCTCAAAAATTATGAGTGAAAGAAGTCAGATCCTGTGTGTTTTCATTTATATGATATTCGAGAAGAGACAAAGCTAATCTATGATGGTAGAAATCAGAAACTGTTTACTGAACGTCAAGAGATAATGATTGGAAATGGCATGGTGGCTTCTGGGTGCCATGTCATTGCCTTTTTGATCCAGGTACTAGTTACACACGTGTTTCAGTTTTTAGAACCTTATAAAACTGTACACTTTGTATACTTTTCTCTGTATGTTATACTTAAATAAGTCTACCCCCACAAGATTTTTATCTGTTTCTATAAAAGGTTTACAAATAGGAAGACAAAGACTTTAAAGTCCCAGTAGAAAAACGAAATAGAACCTATAAAAAACAATTCACAAAAGAAATACAAAAAGGGAACAATATTAAATGTTCAACCACATTGATAAACCACCAAAATATAATTTATTTCCAACTAAATTTAACATATTGTAAATGTCAAAACTATGACAAGAGGGTTCAAAAGGATTTTTTCATTCCTTATTTGTGAAAGTATCAACTTGATTAACCTTTTAATATCTATGCAAGTTCAAAACATGCCTACCTTTTCAACCAGACATTTTAGAAATGTCCATCTCTAAACACAAAGATGACAAGAGATCACCACCATACTATAACAAAAATTACATGAGGTCCTTCTATATGAAGTTCATTAATTAATCATGGTATATGAATGCAAAAAGGCAGCTCTCTAAAATACTTCTATGTGAGCCAGGTGTGGTGGCACATACCTGTAATCCCAGGACTCAGGAGGATGAGGCATTAGAACCACAAGTTCAAGCCCAGCCTGGGATACATGTGTGAGACCCTGTCTCAAAAATAAAACAAAATAAAATCTCCTTGAGCTGGGCGTATAGCTCAATGGTAGAGCACTTGCCTAGTATCTGAGAGGCTCTGGGTTCCATCCTCCACACCAGAAAAAAAAAACCCACAAACAAACAAACAAACAAAACCAACAACATCAACAACAAAAATCACATCTATGTCCTGATACTGAAACATCTGCCAACAAGTATTCATTTAGTAGAGACTATTCCAGCTGTACCAGTGATCAGTTGTGCAAGTTTACTTCTCTTGTTTATCCACTCTGGGTCTCAGTTCCTCACTTGTAAGATGGTGAATAATAATGATACCTATTTTATAGTGTTATTATGAGAATTAAAGTTGGCTATGCATAAAAAGTGTTTATTTAGTATAGTGCCACGCATGGTATAAACTCAGTTTCTGTCACTCCTATTACCATTAGCATTATCACTTGTATTACATTTATCCAAAGTACTGGGGACAAAGAAGTACTTTCAATTTGGGATTTTTTTGAATATTTATATATATTCACAGAAGACATTTGGGGGATAAGACCCAAATATACACATGAAATTAATTTGTTCTTTTTAAAAATATTTTATTTTTTATTTTTATTTTATGTGTATTGGCTGCATGTATGTAAGTGCACCCATGTTGTGCAATGTATGCAGAGGACAGAAGAGGGTGTCAGAGCCCCTGAAACTGGAATTATGAACAGTTGTCAGCTGCCATGTGGGTTCTGGAATTCTAACCTGGGTCTTCTACAAGAACAGTCAATGCTCTTAAATGTTGAGCCATCTCACCAGCCACCTAATTTGTTCATATACACATTGTTCAAACGTAATTTTGTGAAATGCTTTAAGTATGCTTGCATTGTGACCATGACCTATCATATAAGGTCAGATGTGGAATTTTCTACTTGTGGTGTCATATCTACAAAGCACAAAGTTTCAGATTTTGTAGTGTTCAGGAATTCAGATTTTCAGATTAGGAACGCTCAACTTGTACTGCCATTATCAGTGTTACCGTGTACAGGGAAAACAGAGTTGCAAATGTTTCATTTAATGAGAAAATTTTAACAAAAGGAAGACATATTAACTACATGTTTAAAATATATGTTCATTTATAGAGAAAGAAAAAGCAAAAGAGGGGCATATAGGCAGAAGTTACCTAAACTCAAGATCTGCAACTAGTGGTGATATGAACCAATGAGATACTTTCCTTTTTATTTTATTTTTTACTATTGTGTTTTGCTGGAAGTAGAACAAAATGCCTCTTGCACATGCTAGCACTCTGCCAACTGAACTATGTACAAACCCAAGTTTCTTGTTCTAAACTGCACATTCCTTGAGATTTTATTTTCTGTACTGAGGCTTGAATCCAGAGCCTCCTGCATGCTAGGCAAATGCTCTGTCACTGAGCTATATACCCTCAGCTCTTATTTTTAGGAGTGAAAGTGTGTGTGTGTGTGTGTGTGTGTGTGTGTGTGTGTGTGTGAGAGCTCCCATGGAACTAACCCTTGATTTTTTGAGACAGGGTCTTGTTACATTAGGCTAGATTAGAACTCAGGCTACACTCAAGTTCTTGATCCTCCTGCCTCAGACTCCTGAGTGCTGGGATTACAGGCATGTACCACTACTATCACTAGAGAGTTTGAATTTTTGGTGGCACTCTCCTATCTCATTTTTGCAGGAAGAATAAAAAAATGATGGAATAATACAGACTTCTAAAAGAAGGGCAGAAAGGAAAGAATTAAAAATGGTCAGGGACATCATAAATACTAAAAGGAAAAGGACTATCTTATGGGTTCCTCAGGCTTTTCTTCTAGACAATAAAAAAGAAAAAATGTACTGTAAACAAATTTGAAGGGCACAGGGTTTACATATTCTTCCTGGTCATGAAGATTTTATTCACATGTATTCCAGAATATACTTGTGCAGGCATGGCTTTGCTGAACAGTCACATCCCTTTTACGTTCTGCTCTAGCAGCACACTGTTAGTTGATATGAAGACAATTTAAGCCACATCAGAGCAATAGTAGCACAGTGTTTATCATAAGATGGCTAATGGCGGCTTAGGGGACCCATCAGAGAACTGTTTGACCAACATTAGGAAATCTCAGTTCATATGGAAGTGGCTTACTTTCTCTGTATGGGTGAAATTAAACAAAACAAATGAATGAATTCTTTCCCTTTATGCCGTGGCTTACAGAAAGCTCAGAAAAGTATCTATATGTCAATATATAAGCATATAAAATCCTCTCTCTCTCTCTCTCTCAACACACACACACACACACACACACACACACACACACACACACACACACCTATTTCAACGTTGTGCTGGTCTTGCTATATTTCCCTAAACTTTGTATTTGTTTATACACAACTACTTTATAGAATAAATAATAAATAATTCATACACTCATATAAGGCTTAGTGTGTATGTGTCAATGTGTTGTTCTATACACGTATTAACTCAATTGATCCTCACAATAATTATACAAGGTAAGTATTATCACTATTCCTATTTTACAGTTAAGGAAACTAAGGCACATAGAGGCTAGATGGTTTGATAAGCTCACAAAGCTGTTAAGAGCAATTTTGCTCCAGATTCTGTAGCAGTAATCACTGTACAATATTGCTTCTTTGTTTCTATGTTTCCTAATGTAGGCAGGGGTAATGGGGTGGGGAGAAGCAAGTAGGAACTTACCCAGGACTCAGTCATGTCTGACTGTTGTGGAGAGAAGGCAAAGGCCTAAAAAGGCAGAACTGTTGAGAGGGAGGAGAAGAAAAGAGAAGAGCTGCAGATGGCAAGGAATACCCAGATTGAAAGTTCACCAAATCACCAGGCCAGAAATCCACAAATGCCAGCTGGTAAAATGGCCACGCTATAGCTAAGAAAAAAGGGAAAGGACATTTGTTTTCCCCCACGGATCCCCATCACCCAAAAACACAGCTTTATCAAGGACTTCATAGGCCATCATACATTCACCACCACAAATTACCCAATGCTGACTTAACCCCACCCCATCACATACTCCACAGAGCCCCACATCACTTACACTACTGACCCTATCACTCCACAGACCCGCTCATCACACCCCCCAAACACTCTCATCATTCACCCCAACAGCACCCCTCGGTCAAAGCCTCCACAGACCCGATCATTCATTGCAGATCCCTGTCACTCCGCTTTTAGCCCCCTCCCCAGATTCTCACTATTCATCTTTGAGTCCCCTCCCCAAGTACTCACCTAGTAAATTCGCAGCTTTACAGAGTCCACACTCGCCAGTGTCGCTCCGCCTGCAGAGTATCAGCCCTCTCACTTCCGCTCCGAGTGAATTCTGCCCTCCTTCACTCCCTGCTCTGATCTTAAAATCTGAATTCTTATTCCGGCAAAGTCTCTTTAATGTTTCCCAAACCAGCCATAACTTCCTGCGATAGCCACTTTTATTCCTTTACTCCGCCCTGGTTACTGTGAGTCACTAAACTTGCTCATGCGCAGTAGCTCTTCCTGAAGCCATCTGCGTTAGTAGTCCAAATTATTTTGATTACCACAAGTTATCGTCTTTGCAGGCTAGAAAAATGGATGCGCCAATAAGCCAGGTTTTCAAGGGAGCGGACATCTTTATAGCCTTTGACATTCCGTACAGCAGACCAAAAAAAAAAAGCCTCTTAATGTTTGGAGGACATGGGATTTCGTAAAGGAATTGGAACCTTGGCCGATAAGAGTGAGTGTTTTGTACAAAGGTGCGCTAATGACCTGTGAATTATATACGCAGTTCTCAATTTAGAGCTGAGGACCTCAGTCCCCGCACTCCCAAGCTCTGCCGGGAGATACCACTGTAGAGATGGGGGAAGGGCTGTAATGGTGCAACCCTCCCGGGAGACTATTCCGGGGAGAAGAGAATCAGAGCAGAGAACAATGCAGATCAGTTCCACCGTGGAGATGGGGGAAAAGCGTGGAGGTAGTAGTTCTCTCAAGGAAATAACACTAGAGCGGTAGGAACACTGGAGAGGTAGGTATTGTTAGGCTAGCTGTGACAAAGATTTAGATTGGTACGGTCCTCTGTGGGAAATACCATTTTGCAGAGGTGAGCAAATCCGGGGGTGGTAAGAGTCAGTGCTCAGAGAAAGAAATGCTTGAAGAAGGTGACACCTGTAAACACAGGTACTGGGAGAGTTGGAGAAAGAGGCTCCAGGAGAAAGGGACCCCAGGGATGTGAGAGCTTAGAGAGGAGGGGAGGATCCACAAAATCCTGGCAGTGACTCTCTCCATGCCCACATTCCTGGGAACTTGTGACAGAAAGGTTTGGGAAAGGGGAATTGCCAGGCTCTTGGTCCTGTGGGGCCCAGCTCAGGGTCTTCTAGAGGCCTGGAGGACCAATAGGACACAATGTTTCAGGTTGGATTTCAGACACACTACCTGACTCTATCACTTGACTGTATGAAAGCCAGCATGTAAGGGACAGCTAAGATGATTCTTTTCTGACTATCGTAATAGGGAAACTTTTCTTTAATGAGGGGCATCCTGAAGACAAGGAAGGGGGTGGGGTTTTATAGAGGCATATTAATAAAAGAGCATCCTTCAGTCGTGAGGATGGATGGACATAGATCTTGTTTCAGAATATGCAAGAGCATTAGGGACTGCTCTGGACTTGGGTCCCCTCTCAAAATTAGTAAGCTGAAACCTTAACCCACAATGTGATATTATTTGGAGATGGGGTCTTTGGGAGGTCATTAAAGTTAGGTGATGTTATTAGGGTGAATCCTGGTCTAATGGAATTGGTGCCTCAATAAAAGGTGCCCAAGAGTTTGCTCATTTCCCATTTGCACAAAAATTAAGTCATGTGAGGCCACAGTAATAAGCAATTGTCTGCAAGCATGCCAAAAAACAGATCATCTGGGACTTTGATCTTGCCCTTCTCAGCCTCCGGATCTGTGAGAAAGCTTTTTACTGATGTTTAAGTCATTTGGTCTCTGGTGTTTTGCTATGGCAGTCAGAGAGTTATCCCCGTACTGGAACACAAAAGCACAAAGCTTCATAATCATCCCTGCTTTCCAGGAGCACAAGATTCACTCAGATATAAGGTGACACTTTCAACTGCATTTCAGCTTACTTGCCCCCCCCCATGACTCTCATTCCTTCCCACTCTACCAATCATTCTAATACACCCCCAATTCAATCGCACTGTTATTTGCTTCCTATTCACTCTGCTTCATGACAACCATTCACACATATTATACCTCATATGAAAACTATGTGGGGATGGGGGAAACTGGGGACATACCTCAGTGGTTGAGCATTTTCCTACTATGTGCAAAGCCTTGGGTTTGATCCACAGCACAAAATCCAAACCTTTAGAGACAAGAAAGCCTTTATTTTTATGTTTTCCAAATAAAGTTGGATGAGTTGGTTGCTTTTTGGTGATTAATCAGAGACAAAACCCCATATCCTCATTTGACTCCTCCAAGTCTTCTTTGACTGCAGCCTTGGCTGGGGTGGCTGCAGGAGCAGCAGTGGTGGTGTCAGTGGCCACACTGACAGCAACCACAAATGCAGATGGATCAGCCAAGAAGGCCCTGACCTTTTCAGCAAGTGGGAAGGTGTACCAGTCTCCACAAAGTCAGGATCCACTTGTATCCATCAGGCGACCAATCTGTAGACAAACACTGGTAACATTGTAAGTGCCTTCTAGCAGCAAGAATGCAGAGATTCCTTTGTGGTGTCAAGCACTCAGGGGATGTAGATACTATTATTGTTGAATACCTAATGAATGATCAGCCCAAAGGAAAAGGTGGAGATGTTCAGCATGTTCATCAGGGTGGCTTTACTCGCTCCCACTTTGTCCACTAGCTGCACATCACTCAGACTATCAATGGTGCCTCTGGAGATTTAATGGTGATGCCTAAGACCTAGAAGAATATTGGCTGGCAAAGTGATTTCACATGGGGCAGTGGTACTATCTCAGAGGCAGCAGCTGGTCAGCAGCATATCCCTGATCTCAGCGAAATCCCCCTTTAAAATAAATAATCATTTTATTCAGCTTACATATTAGCCACAGAGCAGGGAATAATTATAATATATTGATTGTCAAATAGATTTTATTTTTTAAATCACATTTATTCAGAATCAAGTGAGATACTTAAAAAAGACATTGAATAAGAATTCTCAATGTGAATGTGTGAACAGTTGTCTTCCCCAGTCATCAGAGGGTATTCCAAGCACTTGGAAGCCTAAGTTAGGATGATCGTGTTGAGTTCCAGGCCAACCTGGTTGGTACAGCAAGTTCCAGGTCAGTCAGGACTACAGGGTGACACCCTGGATTTAAAAAAATAGTGAAGATTGCTGGGCATGGTGGTGCATTCCTTTAATCCCAGCACTCACTCAGGAGATAGAAGCAGGTAGATTTCTGTGAGTTCAAGGCCAGCCTGGTATGCATAGCAAGTTCCAGGCCAGCTGGGGCTACAGGAAGACCCTGTCTCAAAAAAGACAAAAAGTAGTGAAGATAAAAGTTTAGTTGGTGGAGGAAAAAGCTTTAAAAATGCCCCAGCACTGAGTCCTGAGTGATGGAAGGATGCCCATAGGAGAAAATACAAGGCAGGATCCAGCGGAGTGTGTGGACAATATCACCTGAACAAAACACACCCAACACCCAGTAGTGAGGTCCTTTTTAGTAAAGACAAAACTCACATTCCCCTGGATATAAGACAATCATTTCTCTAGAACTGGGTTAAAAAGGTTTTGGAATACTTTGTGCACCATAGTGTCCTTGTCAATCAGCACCACAGCTTTTCTTCCAATGGACATGTGGATCTGCTGCATTTGCTTGGAGCCCACATTATCTGCTCCCACAATAACTTTTGGACAATCATCCAAAACATGGATGGTTTTAAGAAAGAAGTTGGATTTACTCCCTGACTTCCCTGGGCATCACAGTGGTGTGTTAGGGATTGCTATGCAAGATTTTAAAATTGTCACTCGACATTAAAGATATCTACAGTGAAAGTTTTAAATCTTTGAAGAAAGAGATTGAGGAAGATACAAGGAGATGGAAATACCTCCCATGCTCATGGATTGGTAGAAATAATATTGTGAAAATGACCATCCTACGAAAAGCAATTTATAGGTTTAATGCAATGCCAACCAAAATCCCCATGATATTCTTCATAAAATTAGAATAAACTATCCTAAATTTTATATGGAGTGCTATGTTGAACACAAAGAGCTGGGGGGAATACCATACTAGATCTCAAACTATATTGCAGGGCTATAGTCATCAAAACATCATGGGACTGACACAAAACCAAGACAAGTCAATGGAACATAATTGAAGACCTAAAAAATGAGTACATGCAGTTTCAGCGAACTGGTGTTTGATAAAGATGCCAAGAACACATACAGGAGGAAAGACAGCTTCTTCTACAAATGATGCTGGAAAAACTGGATCTGCACCTGCAGAAGAATAAAAAGTAGACCCTTATCTATTGTCCTGCATGGAAGTCAACTCCAAATGGATCAAAAACTCAATGTGAGACCTGAAACTCTGAAACAGTTAAAAGAAAACTCCTAGGCAGTTCCCTACAAGACACAAGTGCAGGAAAGGACCTTCTAAATCTGATATCAGTTGCTCAAGAATTAAGGTCAATAACTGACAAGTGGGAACTCATTAAACTAAAATGCTTCTGTACAGCAAAAGAAACAACCAAGGAAGTGAAAAGGAAACCCACAGAGTGGGAGAAAAATCTCTGACAGAGGATTAATATCCAGAATATACAAAGAAGTAAAAAAAAACAAAGAATAAAGAAAACAAATGACCCAATAGAAAGATGGGTTATGGATCTGAACAAAGAGCTTTCAAAAGAAGAAATTAAAATGATTAAGAAACACCTTTAAAAGTGTTCAACATCCTTAGTAATTAGGGAAATGCAAATCAAAACCACTTTAAGAGTTCATCTTACCACAATCAGACTGGCTAAGGTCAAGAAAACAAATGATACCAAATGCTCGAGAGGATGTGGGGAAAGGGAAATGTTCATTCACTGCTGATGGGATTGCAAACTCATACAACCTCTATGGAACACAAGTGTGGAGAACTCTTATAAAACTAAAAATGAATCTACCATATGATCAGGTTATACTACTCCTTGGCATATACCCAAAGGACTCATCCTACTGAAGAGGTACTTGTGCATCCATATTTGTTGCTGCTTTTTTCACTCTAGCTAAGAAATGGAAACAACCTAAATGTCCCTTGACTGAAGAATGGGTAATGAAAATGTGGTACATTTACACAATGGAGTTCTGCTCAGCAGTAAGAAACCATGAAATTATGAAATTTGCAGAGAAATGGATGGAACTAGAAACTGTTAGACTAAAGTAACACAGGCTCAGAAGAACAAGTGATGTATGTTCTCTCTCATTTGTAGATCTTAGCACCAAATCCTTATATACAAGTATA